TAAAAATAATATTTAAATAATTGATATTTGTTATAAAGAGATGTGATTGTAACACTATTTTGTCTAAGCAGTCAAGATAAAAGTGATCTTAAAGGTTATCCTTTTCGATATTCAACTCAAGTAGTAAGAAACTAGTTTTTTTAAATTTAATTTTTTTTGTCGGATTTGACTATTAGATACTTGAAATTCATCAGTTCAACTTCTTCATCATCAATAATAGCTATGATGGAATGAATATGATCTTTTATCTCGAATTTAAATTTTGCATATGAAAAAAAATAGCTTTAAAAATATTTTCTAAAATAGATTTTACGTAATCTAATATATTCAATTTAATCTTGCACCCAATATCAGACATCACATTAAAAAAAATGGATCTTTATGAAAAAGTATTAAAATAACTAAGCGTGCGTGAGTGAGTGTCTTTAGACATCACTTTTGACAAAATTTTATACTCTTATAATCAATTTCTTCTTAATTTCAAGGTCCCTTTTATAAACTAAGACAATATTATCTTCCAATTTTGTTTTATATATGATCTTGTATGTTCTTTTAGGATAACAATTTTTTAATATTTAACAGTGAAAGGTTATAGTAAATAATTATATTCCAAGTGTAGTACATTGTTGAAGACTTGAAGTTTGGCCATTTTTGACGGAAATAACAGCCGCAGATTATTTTTCTTTATTAAATTATACTATATAGTATATATATTCCTTCTATTTTTTATTTCAAACTTTGATTTTGAACGTGTTTAATTGAAAGAATTTTTATTAGTAAATTTCTAAAATACACTCTATGCTACTACAACAATACTTATAATACACACGGTTAATATAGATTTTTTTTTACATAATTAGGTCATATTTATATATTGTAAACCGGTAATAATCTGTTTAATTTTCAAGATTATAAATCCCACATTTTAAGAAGCTAGTTATGTATATCCTATAGATATCTTTTGATTGACAAGATAATATATATAAAAAAAATATACACTAATAATATATATAACTAGGGGCGGAACCGGCATAGGATCACGGGGTTCATCTGAACCCCTATCGACGAAAAATTACATTATTTATATATAGTTAAATTTATTTTTATATATATAGTAGATATTGAACACATTTTTCAACTAGTTCATGTGTTTACTTCTTCACAACCCTATTCGTGAATATTCTTGACTTCGCCGCGGTGTATAACTTAAACTATTAATTATGTTTTCCTTTGGATAACAATTTTCTACTCATTGAAGTCCATATAGTTGACGTAAAAGGCAGCCGCAGACTTGTTTTGCTTTTATAAAATACAATTCAGTTACTATTTTATTTTATTGTAAAAAAAATTGTCTTTATTGGAATGTGTACTTCAACACAAAGAATTTAAATTAATTATTTTCTAGAACACACTAAAATTCTTCTTCTCTATGCTACTATTACTACAACTATATATACAAATCAATTAGTGCACTAAAATTCATCAATATCATTTCTTTCTATACTTTCTCCATATCATAATCTACATCTACATATTCAACAAATTAAGCCTTCAAAAAAATGTCTTCAAGATCAAAGTTATTATTTAACTATATAGTTTATATTACATCTCAATTAAAATGGGCTTTGAATTATCTTCTACTTCAATCTTTTTTCTCTCATCCTACTTACAACTTCATCGTCTCCGATATAAACAACGTTATAACACCTCGTGATGTGCTCAATGTTAGGCGTTTTCGTGAGGAGGAAGTGGAGTCGTCATCATCATTATCATTATCATTATCATCAGTAGAATGCGCGGTTTGTTTGTGTAAAATAGAAGATGGAGAAGAAGTTAGAGAGTTGAAATGTGAACATTTGTTTCATAAGGTTTGTTTGGATAGATGGATGGGTTGTGGACGTAAAACATGTCCATTGTGTAGAAATTATTTGAAATCGCCACCAATTTATTCAGAGATTAATCAAGAAGTTATAGTGTTGGATTTGTTTTCGAGAAAATCAAGAAGAAATCGATGTGAATGGTGGCTACGATAAATGGTGTTTGTGTTCTGCTCGTGGAGAGAGGGATGAGGGGAAGTGGTGTCCTCTTACAGTCACATATGTGGTCACTTTCGTTTTAAAAGTCAGATTGAATTTTTAATTGGTGCTCGAAGGGTTACATATTTTCATTCTTTAATTTATATGTTTATTTGTTTTGTAAATGAGAATTGTAACCTATTTACAAAATTCAGTATACAAATTGACGTGCTCGATTTTCAATTGTGGTCTTAATTAAATATTCTTATGTTTAATTTTATTTGTTCAGTATTAGCTCAACACAATATTTCTTAAGAAATAGCATTTCAACTATCAATTATTTCCTTTTTGCTATCTAAACTATTGATCATATGTTTAATTATGAGTTAGTTAAATTAATTAAATGGAAATTAAAGAATCTCCACAAGAAGTCAAGAAAAGTGTGCATGTCCAACTATAAAAAAAATAAAAAAATTAATTTATTTTTTTAAGGGACTGAACTAAGATCCACTTTGAATTTCAATCAAAAATACCATGTATCATAATAGAATCGAAGAATAGAAAACTACAAGAGCAAAGTCATGACTAGTATATGGAAGGATAAATAAGACATGAATACCCAACTACCTATAGTAGCCTTGTTTCTTAATTTGTAGAGTGAATATCTTAAATAGTCACTCAACTTTGGTAATTTATCTAACAAAGTCATTAAACTTTGTTTTGTATCACAAAAATCACTCAATTTAGATTTTTATATAAAAAAAATCACTCAATAAAATTTATTTTCTTTAAAACATTAACATGTCAATTTTTTATTTTTTTTATACCGTATAAATATAAACTCCACAAATAAATAAAATTAAATTCATAATTTAAAAATTAAAATGAAAATTTTTAAGAACTGTCGATTTTGCTCAAACTGAAACTATGCCAGCTCTGTTCACTGCAACTAATGCTCTATTAATTAATGTTAATTTAATGGTGGAATTCAATTTATCTGTTTATTTTAGAAAGTTCTTTTTTTTAAAGAAAAATATTGCATGATATTTGATTAATTATTTTATTTTTTTGAAAAAAAATCTTGCCGATGTTAAAAGAAAAATTGCAAAAAAAAAAATCTAGAACTTTTTATTTGAAATTTCAAATTACGAATTCGATTTTATTGATCTGTGGAGCCTATATATTTACATGATATAAAAGAATTATTTTGTCATATAAAAAAGATTTAATAATAAATTTAGTTGAGTGATTTTATTGACATAAACATTTAAGTTGAGTAATTTTATTGATATAAATATCTAAGTAGGGTGATTTTATTGATATAAATATCTTAAGTAGGGTGATTTTATTGATACAAAACAAAGTTAAATGACTTTATTAAATAAATTCTCAAAGTTGAATGACCTTTTGAGATATTAACTCTTAATTTGTATATATCCTCCATAATCTCCCAATTGACCTATCAAATAAATTAATCTATGCACTGTGAATGTCAAAATTGATTATCTAAGGTTATGTCCTTGATAAGTTGGTCAATGAAATGGTTGAGAACCCTGACGTTTCAAGTTCACAATTCAGCAGAGGTGACAAGAAAATACTAGGCGTTTCTTCCCATTTGTCCTAGCCTTGGTGGATAGAATTACCTATACATGTTGTTGGTGGCAGGTATCCCATGGAATTAATCAAGGTCCGCAAAAGCTAATCTGAACACCACAATCATAAAATAAAAAAAAGTTGAAGCGTCAATGTCTTAGTTGATCACATCTTCCCAATATCTATTCGACCTAACTCTACTTCTATTGAAACCATACATAACCAACTTCTCACCTATCTCCTCTTCACATGTCTGAACCATCTCAACATCCGCATTTTGTCCTCTGCTAAGACTACATTATAGAATTTATCCAAAGTGGTAAATAATTTTTTTATTTTTTAGAGGAATGAGGTGGAAAAAGGAAAAAAAAGAAATTGGGTCCTTTGTGATTTCTTGCATTGGCAGCAACAAACGTCCAAAGGCCAAATCTCATCGATTGTGACATTGTAACAAAATATACATAATTCATCAATCTTCATAAACCTATCATCATAATCATAATCAATACAACATTATTGTAAACAAAACAAATATTCCTTCTTGTATATACACACAATATTAAAAAATTATAAACTTTTTTACATTCTTGATTGTGTACGTGGGAAATTGGGCAGTAAATTTGCAATTTTTGATCCTGTATCTAATGCTTTGTGGATGTTTTCACAATTTGATTCACCTTTTTGGAGTGGGGTTTCCTTAGAAAGGGTAAATTCTACATAATCTTGAATTTCTGTATCTTTTTCTTGATTTGGGTGTCTGGGTATTCGAATAAATCTGTTTGGTGTTGTGGGTGTTTCTTGAAACTGCATTTGGTGATCTGGGGTACTTTTATTTTGGTCATAGTTGCTGGTGATAATCATTATTTGGCTGCTTTGTTTAGAAAGATTGAATCTTTTTTACTCTGATAAGGTTCTGCAGTGTGTGGAGGGATTGTTCTTATGAATTATAGCTAAAAAGGAGATATTGCTCTGCTTTAGACCTGTCACTAAATTCTGTGTCCTGTGGCAACATTTTGATTTCGCTTAAAATCTGATATGTTTAAGGTTGAGGTTGAGGTTCTTGTTGTGTTGAAAATCCTAGCTGTTTATGTTTAACTTGGGGGTGGTGTGTGTGTATACTATGAGTGAATTGGTTGGTGAGTTTGGATAAATTTTGGAATAAGAGGAAGTAATTTACTGCATATTAGGGATATTAGTTTTATGTCAGCAAGTCTGCATTGTATAAGAAATGTTGTAAATGTAGCTAGCTTTGGTGGTGGTGAGATGTTAAAACGTTAATCATCCACCTCCAAGTTATAGAATTTGAAGTTCCATTATCTGTGACTTCTCTCCGGGCTCGTTACTCTCTTTCGACAAATGTAAATATAGTCTGTCCTAGCCTCACTACCAATCTTATAGACTTATAATGGATTCTTCACCATCTCATGAAGAATCTGCTCCTCCAACTGATGTGGCACCTCCAACGTTTAGTCCTCCGCCTACACCTTCTAGTCCATCTGATAGCTCACCACCACCTCCATCTTCTAGTCCACCTCCTAGTTCACCGCCACCTGTATCTTCTAGTCCACCTCCTAGTTCACCTCCACCTGAATCAACTAGTCCGCCACCTAGTTCACCACCACCTCAATCTTCTAGTCCACCACCAGCCTCACCTCCACCTGAACCAACTCCTTCTTCTCCTGTCAGTTCACCTCCACCAACTTCATCACCTCCCCCTGCATTGTCACCTCCGCCACACGTACAGAATCCAGAACCTCCTCCAGCACCACAATCACATGGAAATTCATCCCCACCACAATCTCCTGAACCTAAAAAAGGTTCATCATCATCTTCACCACCTTCATCCAACTCACCTGGGGATGGAGGTGGAGGTGGAAATTCACCACCATCCCCAATATCTAAGTCATCAGATAATTCGCCTCCTTCACCAGCCTCAGGCCCTCCTAAAGATTCGCCACCTTCACCAGCTGCATTATCTCCAAGTAACTCACCATCTTCTGATTCACCCTCAAACTCATCAACACCAACATCTGTAATACAATGGTCACCACCACCTCCATCCTCTAATGGTGCACAATCTTCTCTTAATCCTCCTTCATCACAAGTTCCTAGTAACCATAGTTCCGGAAACCATTCAACAGGAAGTCCAAAGCCTGCTGGTGGCAACAGCAATGGTACTGCAGAGACAGTTTCCATTGGCGTTGTAATTGTTCTTTTTTTGGTTGGTATCATCGGAGCAGTTGCATGGTGCATACGGAAGCGAAAGAAGAAGAATTCTGTCCATTGTAGTGGTTATGTCAAGCCAATCTCTGCGTGCTCCTCTCCAAAATCAGGTAAATTTTCAGAAACTATAAAATCATTCCTTTTAGTTTGTTATTCAGTGCTCAAGATGCTTGCAAGAAAAATCAATGTAATATTTGTAGTTGAGACCTTTCAAGTGAAATCTGAGAAGATGTGAAAGTTGTGTACAGAGTCTGCTTTATTGAAGGTCAATGAATCAACACCTGAGAGAAATGGAACGAGCTCTAATTTCCTCAATTCTCCAGCAGACCCTGGAGGATTCAACAGTGCAAAGACATGGTTTACTTATCAAGAACTTGTTGAGGCCACTAATGATTTTTCAGCGAATAATGAATTAGGGAAGGGTGGATTTGGTTCTGTATACAAAGGCTATCTAGCAGATGGAAGATATGTCGCGGTAAAACAGCTAAATATTGGTGGGAGCCAGGGCGAACGGGAATTTAGAGCTGAAGTTGAAATCATTAGCCGGATACACCATCGTCATTTGGTTTCACTTGTAGGTTATTGCATTTCAGAGAACAAAAGGCTCCTCGTTTATGACTATGTATCCAATAATACCCTTTACTTCCATCTTCATGGTAAGCATAACATTTGTAGATTTAATTATTTCATTTGTTATGTTTGGTCACTAAAGCGAGCTGTTGATACTTGCAAGTTACAGCACAAGGGAGGCCTGTCATGAATTGGCCAACACGTGTTAAAATTGCTGTTGGCGCAGCTCGTGGAATAGCTTATCTGCATGAAGATTGTAATACTGTTCTCTTCCTCAATTCTTATGAGTTATCCATGTTTTATTCATGTGATATATTTCATTGGTTGAACAAACGTCCCCCTTATAGTTAAAAGAGAATGTACAGTTAAAAACTTTACCACAACTTGGAATTAGTTTTAATGATCCCTAAAGCTGTGGCGGGATCATGGATGGAAATCTAAGCTCCACAACCACCTTCTTACTACTCTTCCTAAAAGCATACCTTAACGAAAGGAAAATAAAAAAGAGAGAGAAAACAAAACATGTAGTAATAATTTTCAGCTCATAGAAGTAGAAGGCCTTCCAGTTGGCATTTCCTTTTTGTAATGTAATGATATTACTTATGCCATTTAGAATTGAGTTCTAAGGTCCTTTTTCATGCCATAAATTACCTCGTTATATAACTTTTTGGCATGAGTGTGGATTATCATATCTGCATTAAGATTGTAATTAGTGTTCTGTTCCTTAATCCTTTTATGTTATCCATGTTTATTTTTATTTCAGTTAGTTTGTATGGCTGAAAAAAAATGTTTCTCCTCTTTCCTGCCCCAAAAGTTAAGAGAGAAAGCAGGAGGTAAAACTTTTTACCATATGACGAATCGGATTGTGATATTAGATTATGTGTTCCTATCATATCACTTACATTCTTTTTATTGATCCTAGCTGAACAGCTGTGGTAAATTAAATGATGCAATCTGAGCTACTTCCAGAACCAACTTTCTCCTATTATCCCTATAAGAGGACTTGAAGTAAAAAGAGAAAATGGAACGTATAAATAGTTTAAGCTCAATGGAAGTAGCAAGATCTTGAAATTGGATTTCCCTTTGGTAATGTTATAATATAACTTCCGCAATTTAGAATTGTGTCCTCAGTTTTTATGCATCTCGTAAATTATCTCGATTATATGACCTTTTGGCAGTATAAATAATGAATTCTAATCACTTCTCTAATTAGTTACTTAAAAGATGTTTTTGTAGCTGAATGTACCAAATGAGGCACAAAATCGAACTAAGACTGAACAAAACATGATTGGTTCCATTGAGAGAACAGAAAAAATTGTATGACTAAGTTCTTTATACACTCTTGTATTGCACCATGTAGTTACATTCCCGAGAAAGAAATATTTTAATCCATGAGCAGGCATAGTCTCCTTGAACATGAGTATATCTTCCACACTGAAGTGAGCGCATCAGGCTCTGCATTTGTAGTGCATTATATGCTTTTCGCTTGCCAATATTCACTCTACGACGAGCATTTGAATAAATCTTCACTGATCGAGCCAGGTTGAAAAGTGAGAGAAAAATGTTCAACTGCTCTTGTGAAGCATATAGTGAAAAGCAAGTGAAAAACTGGTTTCTCCATATAACAAAGCTGAATGTGTTAATCATCACTGAGTTATTATGCTATACTGTTGAATAAGTAATGAAAAGTTAAGAAAAGTAGACCAGGCGAAGCGATTGTGATTTTCTATGCTCATTTCCTTCATTCTTGTTACTTGAGGTACCTTTAATTATATAGTTAAAGTATGATACTCCTTTTTTATTTGGTTCTTAATTAATTCTTTTGGTGTGGATGACAGGTTATCCTCGTATTATTCACAGGGACATTAAGTCATCAAACATTCTTTTAGATGATAACTTTGAGGCCCATGTATGTCCAAGTCTTCGAACTCCTATTTCCACATTCTTTGTCTCGTGAGCCGCCTTTTACAATTAATTTACTTTCAACAGGTTGCTGATTTTGGACTAGCTAAATTAGCTCAGGATGCAGAAAGTCATATCACAACACGTGTCGTGGGAACATTTGGGTATGTTTCAGTGCCAACTTTATATTAAGTTGACAGCATAAAATAAATATTTTATTCCATATTTTTGAATTTCACATATTTATTCTAATTCCTTAGATCTGACTCAGATACATGGCTCCTGAATATGCATCAACTGGCAAGCTGACTGAAAAATCTGATGTATATTCCTTTGGTGTGGTGCTTCTGGAGCTAATTACTGGAAGGAAGTCAGTGGATACATCTCAGCCTTCAGGGCAAGAGAATCTAGTTGAGTGGGTATGTTTGTAGCCAATCTATTATTTGTCTTTCTCGAAATCCATATTTTCATCAGGTCTCCTTTATTACCTCTTTGTTAGAAATTTTGACATTAATATCCGACCTAAGGCAATGAAATTTTGTTAGAAATTGTTCCTCCGTCTTTTCCCATACTGCACAAGAACTTGGTAGCTGATATGTGAAGAAACCGCCATTTTGCTACTGTACAGTAGGCCTCTAGTTGGTCTGCTAGTGAAGTTCCTCTTCTTTATTTTTCCCTTTTTTACCATGAAATGTGCCTTATCCTGGGAAGAATGTGGTTGCAATGCTGTAAGCCTGAAACATTGTGTCTACATTTTTATTTTTATTTTTATTTTACAACAATCAAACAGCTTGATCAAGTTATCCGCTTTAATTTCATTGATCCTTTAATGTTAGAAAACTGAAAAACCATTAACAGTAGCAGCCGAAAACTTGTATCTTTTATCGTGCTGAATGTGTGAATTCCATTTACTATAGTTATTTTATTTTCGAACTCTTTTGTTTTCTTGTCGTCAGTGCATAGTAGCAGTAGCCAGTTTACAAAGCTTTTAATGCCTTGTATTCTGGTACTAGTTTCCACTGCTAAATTTGAACCAGGCTTAAAAATAACTACTCCATTATATTGTACTGTAACTTGATTTTTTTGTTGTCCAGGCACGACCTTTGCTTAGTCGAGCACTTCAAAAGGAGGAATTAGATCTGTTGGCAGATCCGTGCCTTGAAAAGAACTACGTTGGCACGGAGATGTTCCGAATGATTGAGGCTGCTGCATCTTGCGTGCGTCACTCATCTGCAAAGAGACCAGCAATGGGACAGGTAACTCTTGTTCTGTTATATTGAAAACCTATGCAAAAGACACCTTCAAGACTCTTCTTGTGAAGGGCATTTACAACATTCTGAATTCTGATCATGGTTATGCTTCGTAGATCATGAGAGCTTTCGATGGTATGGCTATACAAGATCTGTCAAACGGGATGAAAGTTGGTGAAAGTGCAATACATAGCGCTGCACTACAATCTGCAGAAATAAGTTGGTTTAGGAAAATGGCATTCGGTAAGCAAGATTTTAGTTCGGATTTTTTCAGCGAAAGTAATCAGAATAGTAGAGAGTCAAATGAACATCCTTAGAGGATTTTATAGAACAAAAAGGCTTATTGAAGCTATGTATGGATCTGTTGATACATCAAAGGTACCTTATTAGCTTAGAGATGCCTTGGTTTAGCTTTCATATGTATAAGTTCCCTTTTGGCTTTGAGTAATTTTCACTATAACTAGTCTACTTCCCTTTGAATGATAAAAAGTCAGAAAGATTGAGAAATAGAACTATTTGATTTCATTCGTTCTTAATAGCCACGAGATGATCATCTTACGGTGATTCTTTTTGTCGATGAATACTCTTATTATACTCGTAACCTTTGAAGGATCCTTCGTAATGATTCGTGAAAGCGATACGTAAAGTTTCATCATGATTCACGTCATTTCATTAATATTTAGGGGCCACTCAACATGAATTAGATGGTTTTTTCAATTTTTTGTATTTAGTTAATTAATTTTTTTTTGCAAAATTTTTAGAGGATCCTTCGTATTGATCCGTGAAACGATACGTAAAGTCTCATCATAATTCGCGTCATTTTATTAGCATTAGGGGCCACTCAACATGAATTAGCCTATTTTTTCAATTTTTCATGTGTTAGTTAATTATTATTTTTTGGTGATATAGCTTTCAGACACTTTTTTTTGCAAAACCTTCACAGGACCCTCCGTAATAATCTGGGGAGTGGTACTATAGTCTCACCATGATCTGCGATTATTTTTTATTGCATTTAGCGGCCGGTTTTCCCAGTTTTCCATGTGAGTTAGTCCATGAATTTTTTTAATAATATGACTCAGACACTATTTTTGCAAAACATTTACAAGAAGTGGTATGTATTGTTGCACCATGATCTACATCTTTTTTTTTTAGTATTTAGAGGCCAGTCAAAAGTAATTAGGTGATATTTTCAATGTTTTGTGTGTACAAACCTCCGGGGCAATTTTTTTGAACGGCACAATTAGATGATTCTCTCAATGTTTCTTGTGTTCCCAATTTTGAGAAAAATTGGAAGCTTTGTAAACACATTTTTACGATATATTTGGGCATTTGGGGGCCAAATATATTAAAACAGGGAGAGAGGCGAGTGAAATGGAGAAAAAGGCGAACGTGATTTGTTTATGTATCTCAAATACATGTGACTCCACTTGGATACAATACACTGGAACAAATTACACCTAATTTTGACCTCATAGCTTTTGAGATACATGTATTTAAACATATCTAGACGCAACAAAATCTGATAAAAATTGTAATATTGCAAACTAGAGTGTATCTAAATAATTAGCTTCAAAGCAAATGAGATTTTAATGTAAGTTTCTCTTAATCTTTTACCCAACCTTTTTGTTGTAGCTCTACATGTATCAGGGACGAATCAATGCCTTTAAAAAAGAGGCATCTACCTTAGGCCTTCAAATTTGAAGTTCTTAATTTTATTTAGTAATAATAAATTTATCATAAGTTTTATTTAACAAAAAAAAAAAATTATACTATATCTTTTAATTATTTATCTTTTTTAGTTCGTTTCGAAACATTAAAGAATGTTTCTTTTTTTTGTCAATTTTTAAATTTAACTTCCACGTGATATCAAGATTAAAAAAATATTTATATATAGTTTAATATCATAGAAAAATAATTTTTTTTATTAAAAAGAAAAAAATAACTTTGCATCTCAGAAATAATTAAATAAAAAATAATTAAAAATTAACCCTCCTATTTATATTTAAATTTAGACTACTAATTAGCTCCTGACCCATATCTTATCTTTCTTATAAATTTATCATTCAAATAGTTGATGAGATAACAATACAATGCGAAAACTCACTCTTTCAAGTCAAAGTCAAAGTCGGGTAGACTAAGATGACTGATCCCGCTCTATCTGACATATCGTAAGAAGGGGTTCTACTTAGAATGGCTCTATTTCATCGTAGTTAGCCAAACAAATCGAGATCCATAAGAACGACCATCAAAACTTTGTCTCACTTTATAATCAATAAAAAAAAATACAATACAAGACAATACTTCTACTTAGAATGGCTCTATTCCATCGTAGTTAGCCAAACATATCGAGATCCATAAGAACGACCATCAAAACTTTATCTCACTTTATAATCAATAAAAAAAAATACAATACAAATATAATATATTATGAAACAATACGTAACATTCATCTGAACAACAAATAACTAACCTCTAACAATACTCTTTTTCATTATCCTCTGTTTCTCCTTCCTCCTTTCCTCCACCAATTCCAATCTCCATAACCAAAAAAAAAAAAAAAACCTTCACATTTTCTTCTTCTTCCCCTTTTTCTCTACAATGATGACAACTCTCAAATCTGATCAACTCAAACAGCTAAAAGACATATTCATGCGTTTCGACCTCGACGGCGACGGCAGCCTAACTCAGCTAGAACTCGCCGCACTCCTCCGTTCCCTCGGCCTCAAACCCGGTTGTGGCGATCAACTCCACGTTTTACTCGCTAAAATTGATCATAACGGCAATGGATCTATTGAATTTGACGAACTTGTAGATGCAATTATGCCTGATATGAATGAAGATATATTAATCAATCAGGATCAGCTAATGGAGCTTTTCCAATCGTTCGATCGCGACGGTAATGGCTACATTACCGCCGCCGAACTCGCCGGACAAATGTCGAAAATGGGTCATCCGTTAACGTATAGAGAATTGTCAAATTTAATGCAAGAAGCTGATACCAATGGAGATGGTGTTATAAGTTTTAATGAATTTGCTAATATTCTTGGGAAATCTGCTACCGATTTTCTCGGATTAAATACTGTCTCCGAATCCGTTGCTTGATTCGTCCCAATTTATGTGACACTCGAAGTAATGTTTATAAGGATGGGCCTTTTGTTGTATTATATTTATGTTTACTTTTTTAGTTTTTCGTGTTTGTTAAAAGTTAGGAGATTTTATGATCCTTTATGGCTCTTTCGCGGACCCTGCATGAATGCAGGATGCTACGTGCATTGAGCTGCCCTTTTATGTCCCTCGATGTATTTGATTTAAGAAGGAGAAGGACAATTTGATGAAGTTGTAATGTCTTTACAACCCTTATATACATAGTAACTATTTTATGGGCATGTCTTCTTATTATTGACGTAATCTACAGTACTCTCTTAGTTTCAATTTATATGACTTGCAAAATATGGTTTTACCCTACCTGTTACATGATTTTTTTTGTTTATTCTGCTATTATACTATAGTTATTTTCCTTTTTTTATCATGTTTTAATTACATTTCATTTGATCAGAGAATCTATCGAAAACCACATCTCTACTCCACAAAGGTATGGGTTAGTCTGCATACATCATACCCTCCCCGACTCTACATGTGGGATTGCACTGAGTATGTTGTTGTTGATTGCAATTTAACACTCAAAGAGAAATTGCTGTACATTTCAAATAGAAATGATCATTCTTTAGTGCAATTGCTAGAAAATTTACACAAGATGATTGCTATCTCTTTACCTATTCTATCTACTCTGCTTCTTGTATTTAACAAAGAAGATCTCATAATTCTACAAGATATAAAAGAATTACTATACACATGTTGCCCGCTCTGGGAAAATTTACAAACCTCCGGGGCAATTTTTTCGCCTGATTAAGACATGTCATGGCAGAATTTTGCTTCTGTTGCATCTCTTAGCTGAGGGATTCCAGTTCGAAAACTTGTAGTTCTGTAGTTCTGAAGTCTGGTCCTGCTGAGAGAGATCTAATCGAAGATCATCCGTGAATACCATTCATGTCGTTTTAGACTAGAATTAGATCTTGCTATCAAACGAGCAGTGAAACCTACAGTTGTTAGTCTTATTGACCTCTGCCTCACGTCGTTGCAGAACTCAGGGTCATTCGAGTTTCCCTCATACCTTATCCATTGAATCATCCCATGGTACATTGGGAAGAACCGGAACTGAATTGCTTCATATGTAAAGTAAGGGGCTAGAGCTGAAACAACTACTAACAGTGTGACTAACCAGTATAACGGGGAGGGAACAAGAGCTTCCACGAAGACTTGGTATGCGTTGGTGGAAAGTGTCGTAGGCATGGCTCCGTATATTAGAAGGAAGATGTACCAGAGAGCTATTCCACCCCAGATGAAGATGTGTTGGATTAAGGTGAAATAACTAACAGCTAGAGCCATCTGACAGTTAACAACCCAAATAACACATGTGTACATTGTTGCTCCCACGATACTGTAGTCACCAGTTTTACCATCTTTATCGAAGGCCTGAGGATCTAGTGCTGTTATGCAGATGAAGAAGATAATAGCTGCACTGCAGACACCATTCAATATCCAGCCAATTATACGACGCCAGCTGAAAAGGGCGTTTTGTATACCTTCTTGATACAGTATAGGAAACTGCAACAATGTACATAGGGTCAAGTACTTCAAATAATGATAGATAGATACATCTTGATCAACACTGTGTGATGTATGACATACCTTAAGACAATATCGAGCGGATACATCTTGATCAAAAACACCCAAAGCAATCACTGGTAATGATGTGAAGAAGACATTGTAAAGCGATAGAAACCAATCATTATATGCAAGTTGTGCAGAAAATGATGTATATGTCTCGTATAAGAAGAGAGTGAAGCCAAATGCAACGTTTTTGTAGAAAAAGTAGCATATCTGCAAGGAAAAGAAAAACCAGTTACAGAAATGCTCCACAAATAGAAACTGAAATAATTTCGAAACAATTTCCTAGAAGGAAACAATGTGAATCTTTTTGCGCGACAAATGTAAGGAAGAAATCCAGTAGCATATATTTTACCATTGAAGAGATCCTTCTGTAACACCAATGACCATGCACTAAAAGCAAGCGTTCCAAAAATCGGAACTGAGCAATTGCAACATCACTTGACATAACAGCCTAACAAGTGTGAAACAGTAAAAAGAATGTTAAGAAGCAAACGACGAGGGACAAGAAGTAGAAATGTGTATTTGTGTATTGCCGCAAAAAGCAAGAGAAATGTACAAAGCTCTCACCTGCATTCCTTCAACGCCACTGATTCCAATTCCAATATCAGCTTCTTGAAGCATTCCTACATCATTAGCTCCATCTCCAATGGCTAAAGTTGTTTTTCCAGTCCCAAATTTAACAAGTCTTGTTACCTGTATATTCCATAGATTGGTATGCTTAGAAAAGATCAAACCAAAAAGGGAAAGACAAGAAATTAAATAGCAGACAGAATACGAGAGGATTACTCTCATACTCTGTAGTCAAAAAGAGAAAATGCTGAAGGCCTCACAATCTAATAGCAACAGTTTGGTTGTGAAGACAAGTTGTACTCACCAATGCCTTTTGTTTAGGTGATGAACGGCAGCATATAACAGAGGCACATCCAATCGCAAGGTCTAAAAGCAATCTTTTTGTGTCATCTGCTAGAGCATATGTAAGTGATTTCCCATCAATGATCAAAGCAAATGCCTCTGCCTTTGAATCCGTAAGTAAAGCTTTCCCTTCTATAATTTGTCGTACAACACTTTCCTTTGACGTCTATAACAAAGAAGAAATAACATACAACTCCATCAGTATCAAACCTTAACAATCATTGAGAGCAAATCTCCTTCAGTAGCCAATGCAAAGTCAGGGAACGTGCTTCTCCTAAGGGGATTCCACGAGGTATTATCTATCTTTCTTTCTTGGTTATTGCATGAAATCGAATGGTGTTAAGAGGGAGAAACCGAGAGCGAGGATATCACTATGTTCAATGACAAGGGAGCTACCAATGAGAAAAGTATCAGAACATTTTGGCTTCAAGAAGTGCATTGGAGAAATTGTGTAACAAAAAAACTTGCACTATTAGAAAGTTTACTCAAGCTTTCTAATAATAGGTAATTACCCTGGCAATAGCATCTTTGTCTCCTCCTTTCTCGGTTGCTATAATATCAGGCGTTTCCAAGTTTATGATAATTTGCTTCATTCCTTGTCTAAGCAAACTACAGGCATAACTGAAGCAGACATTATGGAAAAAATACGTTTAGACAAGCAACAATTGAATCAAAAGTAATATAAAACTCATAACCAAATATTATACCCGATATTAATGGCTGTTTCCATCTTATCCCCGGTCAAAACCCATATCTTGATACCAGCTTGTGCAAGTTTGTCAATGCATTCAGGAACCTATTAGAAATAACAGAACAAATGTCATATAATACATCCAAATGATGCTTGGTTGTAAGAGACCAGTGACTTTATTAAACTTACCCCTTGTTGGAGTTTGTCTTCAACAGCAGTGGCGCCGAGTAGAATCAACTCCTTTTCAATCTTTTTAGTTGCTTCATCAATCAACGCATCACGGTCTGCACTGAGTGAATTCTTGGCCTCTAAAAACTGCTCATTGAACACTTGGTATTCGTCCTTGGTGATTTCTCGATAAGCCAGTATCAAGGTCCTCAAGCCTGCATCAGCATACTCATTTACATGTTCCCTTGTTATCCCTTCAAATTCTCTTCCGCTTTTCGCGAGCCTATCAAACATGACACTGCATAAAGGCCATTTAGAAGAAGGAAAACAAAAACAAAGTCAGCAACCAATTTAAGAATTTAAGGAATTTATGATGTTTGCTAAGTTGCAATTTTACTAACCTATCAGCACCTTTGCAGAGTAGCAGTATCTTTCCCTCCTCATCTTTTACTATTACAGACATCCTTTTTCTTGCACTATTAAACTCCAACACATTCAAAACTGTATATAACCTGCAAACAAAGACATCTATGATTACGCTTTTGATATATTTCTCGATTTTCTTCTTATATAGTGTTTTTCGAGGTTTGCTTTGTTAGCTTCTGCACGAAACTTGATTATTTTGGTCTAATAAAAATGTCATTTTCAATGTATGCACAAAATTTAGAACATCACTGATACTAGGCTGTTTTCACTACACAGTCTTGAACATAAAATCTTTCCTGGCAATTAAGTATTTGATTGTCAACAGGATGGAGAAAGAGGTTAAAAGACAGATTAGTAGTGGGATAAAAGGAAGCACCAAATGAACATAACAAAAGATCAGAGCTAATTTTTCACTTGTTACTTGGCTAGGAATATAAATATAAAAGAATCTTGTTCCAGGAGTATGCTTTGTAATATTTGAAAAATACTTACTATGTTATATGCTTTTTAAATTTCTGAAAATGCATACTGTAGAGATATGTTTGACGTTAACTAACCTCTCGACTTTCTTGCCAGATACCAGATCCAACTCATGCACTGACACACTTGTTTGTGTCCTTTTAACTAATTCAAAGCCAATTTCTTTAGCTGCAACTACAAAGGCCGCCTCGTCTGGAGATTCAGCTTCATATGAAATCTTACTTGTTTCTTCATCCACTTCTGGTATGACTGTATGACAGACTGCTAATAAACGGAAAAACTTCTGTATAACATCTAAATGAGGCTCATGCACCCAACTCCCATTCATGATTCGCTCATCTTTAAAGTTGAAGCCTTTTATTGAGGACTTCTTTGGACTAACAGCAGAATCCTCAATCAGTGGATAACCATTTCTTTTAGCCATAGCCTTCTCGACATCTGTAATACCACGTCCATAAGCCGTTCCAGCTACTGAGCACTTGACAAACTCCATTGAGTTACAAGTTAAGGTACCAGTTTTGTCTGAAAGTATTGTGTCAACCTGACCAAGTTCCTCATTTAAATTTGAGGTGCGGGCATGTGCTGGTCTATCCGTTTCTTCATGATACATATGAATGTCCTGATTAATGAACATACCCTGAAGAACTTTAACAATCTCTATTGACACATATAAGGATATCGGAATCAAGTAGCT